CGCGGCCGGGTGGGACGTGGGCCGCTAATTTTTCAATAGCTGTCGTCATGCCAGCCGCGTCAAAGTATCCACCGCCGGCCAGCTCAACATGATAGCCTGCCTGCATCACCGCAGCCACAAAGTCCCAGTGTACCGTAGTGGGTGTCATCCCAGCTGTGATGATAGGCGGGACTTGCAGCAGCTGGCTGAGTCGCGTCTCGAGTACGGGCTTGCCATCTGGGCCAGCCGCCAGTCGAGCTTTAAAGAGCTCCGCCCAAGGGGCTGGTGCCTGTGAAGGCGTCGCGGTTAGTAACTCCGCTTTTCCGCCGAGAGTGGCGGGATCCGTTGGGGCTAGCACCGTTCCTGCGATGATACGAACTCCTCGGCCATCGACAATTTCGGATACAAGATCGCTGAGGCGGCTGCTGCTCAGAAGCACGATGTGGGAGGGCGGCTTGGGGCGCGATACCTGCAATGTTGCAGGCCAATCTACAGTCTCACAGGCTACTGCCTCGACCAAGCTATGGATCAGGTTACTCGTTGGGCTGAACATCTCGCGCATATCCTGGCCGGTCCGTGTGTGAAAGACCGCACTGAGGAGATCCCCCACTTTTGGCGATGAGGCATCCGGAAACCGTTCCTTCACACGGTCTGCAGCGGCACGGAGGTGGCTGGAATGGAACGGAGCGCTAACAGGGAGGAAGGTATGATGGACAACGGGCTTGCGCTGACGGAAGGGAACCCGACTTTGATCTTGTCCATCATCAGCCTCGATCTCTCGCAGCCGCAGACATAAACCTCGGAGGGAACGTGGAGAACCGGCTACCACAAGGTTCCGTTCAGTGTTGATCAATCCGATGGACAGGTGCTCAGATTCCGGCAAACGACGATTGCAGTCCGTGATTAACGCGTCAAGGGCCGGGGACCGCAGACCTCGGACACTAAGGAGCCATGAGGGGGATCCCTCGCCGTGCTCAACACTATCCCTGATAGCGGCGGACGATAATGGAGAGGCTAGAGCGGCCGTGTGGCATTCGTAGCCCATCCAAAACAGTAGGCGGATGGCCCATTGTGCCTGCGCTAAAAAGGACGCCCACGTGTCCGCTTGAGCGACGGCTGCAGCCACGATAATTCCCTGGGAGTGACCCGTGAGACCTTGCAGCGCTGACCTGAGTCGCTTCGGGGAATCAGAATCGAGTAATTTACCAAGCACGTAATAATGCGCCATATCAAGTAAGCCAATGATTGGGAAGCTGACGGCAGCGGTGGCTGTAAAGGCCCGGTCCGGACGAGACTCGGGGATGGTCAACCACGAGTAAAGGTCAATCTCACGACCCAAGTAGTGCTGTAAGGTGGAGGGTTCTCGAGAAAGACTTGCCAGAGCTGGCGCTACTGATGCAATCAGTGGCTCAAGTAAGGGCTGGTAAAGTGAATACAGGTCGGCCAATTCGTCGACACAGACAAGGTTGGTAGATCCTTGGCCCCCGAAGGCCATTAAAATGCGGTGCGCTTCATTATCAACGGTACTGAAGAGTCCACTGGAGGCTGGTCGGGGGTTGAGACCAGCAATCGCATGTGCGCGGTAGTAGGTGCGTATAATATTCTTGGCCTCGGGCTCAGAGACAATCAGATCGTGGATATCCGCATCTCTCACGCACTGCGACTCGATAGCGCCGAGGAACGCCCCTAGGGGAGCTGGTGGGCAGTCCTCATCCAGGAGGAATTGTAAAAACCCAAACACCAAGGCAAGAATTGACTGGTCTTTCGAATAATTCTGAAGGAAAGAGGCCTTTTGCTGGTCCAGGAAAGCACCGTCCTGTGTCGATACAAGGAATGTTTGCTGGATGTTTCCTTGGGAAAGAGAAAAAGACCTCAACGAATAGTCTTCAGTGGGTGTCACGATCGCAAGATCATAGGAACCAGAGCTGGGGGTAGAGGCCATGGTAAGGATGGAAATGAAGGTGCTGACAGGCAATGATATCTAGTATATTATTATTCAATAAAGCGTTATGTCACTCTTGGGTCGCGCTGGGAGTCATTAGATTTCTAGCACGGCGCGAGAGCGATTGTTTTATCCAACTGCCACGAGAAATATGGGCACGCGGTCTACTATTTACCCTCTAGTCGGGAACCAATTTTACGCTGGGTTCTTACGCTGGGTCGGTCCAGTCTTCGATATCGCCGTGTGTGAGTGAAATGTGTGGAATCGGAAATCAAATAAATCCTACGCTGGGTTCTTACGCTGGGTCGTTCGGAGAGAACTGGCAGCCGGAGTTCGAGAGCCGAGTCGCGGCCCATGGGCGCCGAGCCGGGCCAAACACATGGCATTTATACTCCGGCGTACCAAAAAATGAGTTATAAGATAAAGCTGGATTGCAGGACGAGGAATTACACAAGAATCACAGCTTATGACGCAAAAACAAAAATGATTATTCCAGCGGCGGACGACAATAATTGTCCTTCCTATGACAAAGTGATCGATTTAATCGTCGAATACGCCTATGACTATGACATCGACTCCCCAGCGGCCTGGACACGAGCTAAAGCAGCCCTTATTGATGCTCTAGGCGCTGCCATCGAGAGTATTCATACTAGCCCAGAATGTGCCGCCATGATTGGCCCCGTCTGGCCCCAAACAGCTACGGTACCAGGGGGGTTCCGCTTGCCCGGTACTCAATTTCAGGTGGATGCCCTCAAGGGTGCCTTTGACCTTGGGGGAATGATCCGTTACCTTGACCACAACGATGCCTTTCCGGGCGCCGAATGGGGACATCCATCAGGTAAGCAAGAATCTTAAACCCCACGTCTACCGCCCGTCTGTCCTAACCGATGGCTAGATAATCTTGGTGCAATCCTCAGCACTGCAGACATCCTCAGTCGGGAGGCGCTCGCTCGTGGTAACCCTGATGAGGTCATCTCCATGAAACAGGTCCTCACTGCTCTGATCAAGGCGTATGAGATCCAGGGCGTGTTTCAGATCCGAAACGCCTTCAACAAGGTTGGCCTCGATCATGTCATTTTGGTCAAGGTGGCCTCGTCCGCCATGGTCTCCTGGCTCATGGGTTTATCCCATGATCAAGCCCGGGCTGTAGTCTCGCATGCATGGGCTGATGGTCATCCGCTGCGCGTCTATCGACAAGCGCCAAACGCTGGGCCCCGGAAAGGGTGGGCCGCCGGGGATGCCTGCATGCGTGCTGTGCATCTGGCCAACCTGGTTCGATGCGGTCAGCCTGGTATCCGCTCTGCTATCACCACCCCGCGTTGGGGATTTTATGATGTCTTATATCGGGGTCAGACCTTCGAGCTACCGCGTCCATTTACTAGTTGGGTTATGGAGACGGTCCTCTTCAAAGTCTCGACGGCTGAAGGACACGGATTGACCGCCGTGGAAGCAGCATTGACTATCGCGCAAAAGCTGGCCCAGCGTGGACTTCGGCCGGAAGAGGACATTGTCAGCATCCGAGCCCGAACCCAGGAGGCTGGCATGATCATCATCAATAAGAAGGGGCCGCTGCACAATGCCGCAGATCGCGATCATTGTCTGCGTTATATGGTCGCCGTGGTTCTGCTTAAGGGCAGTCAAATCACGACTGCTGATTACCAGGATAGCAGTCCCTGGGCTCGTGATCCTCGCATAGAATCCCTACGCTCCATCATCACAATGGAAGAGGATCCGAAATTCACCCAGGATTATCATGACCCTCAGTGCCGCAGCGTGGCCAATGCATTGGAGGTGACACTGCGAGATGGAACCAAGTTGGAAGAAATGGTGCCATTCCCCTTGGGTCATGTGCGTCGACCTGAAACCTTGCAGCTGGTCCGGGAGAAGGCCCAGCAGAATTTGGGTTTGAAACTTTCGTCGGAGAGGGTGGAACAGATCCTGGACACGGTCGATCAACCGAAGTTCGAGAAGATGGCCGCTAGTGATTTTGTAGACCTATTTATCCCACATCCTGCGTCCAGCGCAATATGAATTCTCAGAAAGATATAATATATTTCATGTTTAAGTTAATTCACCCATCAAGATGTGTTTGGGAACCTACATAGTAACCTCTTCCTACTTATCCCCACATAGGCTCCATTGAGATATGCCTAGCTAGCAATGCGGGATGCGACTCGTAATAGTGGGCCCGTTCCTGAGAACCGACCGGATCGACATTAGCGGTGAATACGAGGTCCAACAGACATATATATTGAGTTTCTGTCCTTGAGAAGCAGAGCCCAAATTTAAACTACTGGCACTGTGAAGTCTATTGTATTGATATAGTTTGTTCTAACAACCAAGATGGGTATGTCATTTCTCAATCAGTGCAAACGTGAGGCATTAACTTGACTGGCTGTATTAATCTAGGATACTGGGAGGTCTGTTAATCCTCCCCTGAAGTGATATGTGATGACTACCGTCTTCCTTAAACTATGACCACATATACACTCAAAAATACTCTCCCAATGATTCTAATTTCAAAGGACAGGTCCCTTGTCAATTCTGCGGTGTGAGCTTCAACATCAGCCGCATCCGCTCCAAATGGGAACCGAGGTCAGCGGCTTTCGGCCCCGGTGGTCGTGGAGGCTGGATCGAAGGACGAGACTTCACATGGGATGAAGAAGACGAGGAAGAGCAAGCGGAATATCAGAGCGAATACGAGCATTGCTCACCCGATACGGGATGCTGTATGGCTCTCCGAGGTCCTGAGTTTTACGGGTATTTTACCCCGAAGCCACGGTTATATGATGATGATCCTGTGGGCGGTATTCATGGGGATGATCCGAACTATGAATGTCAGAGTGAGTCTGATAACGAATCTCTGAAATATGACTCGGAGGCGAGCGATAGCGAAGATGGAATTATGGATATGCGCCGCAATAAATATACAGAGGACCTGGAGTGGACGTTCAAGGTACAGGGGCCTGATCAGCCGGAATATGACACTGAGTTCTACCCCCTTTCGACAAAATTAGGCGAGAGCCTCTATACCATCAACGACAATGGCTCCAGAACAATGAACCGGGAGGCGTATAACAGGTCTAGATGCTACGAGCATATTGCCGGTCCTGACTGCCAAAATACTCGGGGATACCTGGGGAGGAATATCTCCACTGAAGAAATGAGAGGCTGCCATACGGTTCAGTGTATTCTTGCAAAGCGACAGGAGTGGGAGCCTCGACCGGATGATCTCGCCTTCGAACGGGAAAGTCGATATCATCTCACAGGCGTCGCAGAGATCATGTCTTCATCTGGAGATGGGTTGAAATTTGCTCCGGTCCGACACGGCGTCGATAATATTCGAGCGGAAACTGAATTTCTGCTAGAAACGGTATGATACCCACTTATTGTTAACCTTGCCCCAGTAGAATACGGATTACTTACTTGAAAATAGTCCCAGGAGGAACTAAACGAGATCGGGCTACCGTTTCATCCAGCGTGCTTTGAACTGTTTATTCAGGCAAGCAAGCAGTGTCTCGGAGAGGTTGATATAGACACGTTGGTCCGGATTCGTGACAGAGCATGTCTGAAAAGCCAGCCCTTTCCAATCGAAGACCATGAACATGTCAAAGAGGGGCAAGAACAGTGCTGGAACCATAACGTCGGGCACGAATACCTAGTCGCCAATCCCATATTTGTCCCCTCGCTGAAACCGATCATCAAGTCTGCTATTTCCTCAGACAGAGGATTTAGCGTGCACAACAGCCCTTTCGACACCAGGAACCAAACAAATGCCGCATCAACCACCCAGGACCCCTTCCTCGCATTGCCTATTGAAATCATTCTAATCATCATTGATCACCTTGATTCTAGAGAGATCGCGGCCCTTCGTCTCGTATCACGCGCCTTCACGCACTTGCCGAGTTCTCTTTGGTATCGGCTGGTTGTTAGGGAGATGCCATGGCTGTATGAAGCATGGTCTTCGGATCCGACGCCATACCACTGGGCTACTGTAATCGCACACGATGCACACCAGGAAAAGGAAGCTCGGGAAGAGTGGGATCGTGACGTGGAGAAACAAAGTCTTGTCATCGCTGAGGAGATGCCTGAAGTTCAGGCTGAATGGCTGCGAAGCCAACCGCGGTGGCAATGGCCGGATCACCCGGACAGACTGGAAGTTCTTGGTCTGAGTCCAGTCAAATTGAATTATAGTAGTACGAACTGGTACCAGCTGTACCGTAACATTACTGTCAATTGGAAGCAGCTCAAGGGGCTACAGAATCGCGCCAGGATTTGGGAAGCCATCACGCAGATTGTTGGGGCGATCAAGGATGCGCGCGAGAAGCGTTTGAATGCGGGTGGCAGTGATGGTATAGTTTAGGGTTGTCTAAATGTACAGACACATGCCAAATTTATGAGGTACCATAGGTGGGCAGTGGATTCTTGTCGTGTAGGGTCTATAAGTCCTTCACTAGACGAGAAATATGGATTGGGACTTTACGGATACAACTCTTTTCTATATTAATCAACACGCAGTACGCAGTACGGCGGCTTATTAGCCCCCCTTTGACTTCTCTCTTGTAGGGTCTAACATCGCAACTTAGTGGAATAAAGACTGTTGGATACGAGATGAGTCATCCCAGTGGGCCAACGGACCACACGATATCTCTACTAAAACCTATATAAAGCACCACGATACCTACCGACAAAAGTCCCCACCTCATACCCAAACCCAAACCCCAAGATCAAAAAAATGCCAATCCTACCACTTCTCCCCAGCCACTCTCAAACACCCCCGATTCACACGGCCCGGCTTCTGCTCCGACCGTTTCGGGCCGCGGATCTTCCCGCCCTTCACGTCCTCCGAACCACTCCCGAAGTCATGCGCTGGACTCGGCAGGGACGCATCGACGCCACAACAGAAGAAACGAGTAAATGGATGGAACGCTTCACCCATGACACTGAGCCAGGAGAACGACCTAACTATAATTTCGCTGTCCTACGCAAAAAGGTCCCGGGTGAGGTACCAGCTACGGAGTTAGAAGAAGGCGATGTCATTGGTGTGATGGGCATCGTGTCTATTTCCCCGGAGGACGGTCCTGAGGTGGGGTATTTGTTTCTACCCGAGACGTGGGGCATGGGGTATGCGACTGAGGCTCTCACAGGGTTCGCGGAGGCGTGGTGGAGGCTGCCGATCCCTGAGCATGGTGTCTCTGGGAGTGGGGAAGAAGCAGGGGAAGTGGGGGTATTGCGCGCTGTGACGGATAAGACGAATTTGGTGAGTGCGAAGGTGTTGACTAAATGTGGTTGGACGGTTGTCGGGGAAGGTATTGAAGGTGAGGGTGAGAAGAAGGTCGACTTGTTGTATTGGATGTTGCGGCGCCCTGGGGTTTGAGGTTTTCTAGAGTATTGGGCTTCCAGTGTGAAGTGCTTCTGGAGGCATGGACTTCGTGGTATTTGTTGTATATACGCATGTATCCATAGAGCTGCAAATATGGGGTCCATGATGACATTGTCATAGGGGAATTGGTGCCATCATGTAGATCAGACGCATCTTCGAGTAAAGTGCTAGGACTCCCCAATCAAACACAATTACAGTTACAACATTCAGTAGAATGGGCACCTTGGCGCCAGATGTGACGTATTTAGTGTAAGTGTTGCATTTGTGCACCCTGCACGTAGAAAGGAGAGCAAGGCCAGCAGACTGCAAACTTGTTGTTGGCGTTGGCAAGTGAGACAGGAGACGTAAACAAGTACATTCAACATCTGTATTCATGCCAACGACTAAACCAAAATGACCGGGAACTGGAGCTTGAGTATATCATTGATCGCAACTGTTGAGTCGTCTTGACCCTTCTCCTGCTCTCCACACGAGGATGCCGCGGAATGACGGTTCGGACTCCGATCATCTCGCCACTTTTGTCGCAGAAACGCGGCACTTTGACAAAGTATATCGGACCGCCATATGTCATAGATTTGTCCCAACCTGGTGCTAATAGCCCGCTGATGTGTAGCCACTACAGCAGAGAGCCCTGCCACAACCAGAGGCCAACAAAGGATATTGTTGGACGGTGCGTCGGGTGGTAAATGGCTTAAATGTTCGACAAATGCCAGAACAAGTGCCTGGATAGGTGGACTTTGGTCGGACAAAGCGGTATCTAGAACCTTTTTGATATATATCAGACAGGCCAGGCGGTAAAGTTCGGATGTTATTGCATCGTTCAACCAAGCGACATCCGCGTCTCCCCTTGTTGGAAGCTCAGCTTGCCAGGCGATCAGTTGCTGCTCAATCGTGACAAGTTCCGTCCGTGCCGGTGAGTCATGTAGCTGCCTCTCAGAGAGTACCTTCTCCGCCAACATAGATATGCGAAAGATGCACATGAAGAGCCGCTGCGAGGTGCCCATGACGTTGCCTTGTTGGAGATACTGCGTAACAATGGGGGAGCTGAAGATGGAAGATGCTTGACAAAGCGAAAGTTTGGAGCCGTGGGAGAAGGCTACTAAGGAGAAATAGTAACAAAATAGTTCAAACAAAAAGCTTCGTAGTGCCAGGTCTTCGGGGGTGTAATGCAGGCGACGGAGCAGGAGCGCGGCGGCAGCATTAAGATGAGGCACTATGCGCGTGCTGTTCGTGAAGTTCTGGCACTGCTACCTTTAGTTTCTAAATCACGCCAATTGGGGGACGGGGGAGCAGAGGATGTGCCTTCGCTTTGGAGCATACCTCATGCAGACACAACAGCAGGACCGCCAAAGGTGTGTAATCTAGTCAAGGTTAGAGCTCAGATGGAAAGTTCCATGAACAAGTCCCCTCACTAACCGGATCCTGGTAGATTGTATGCAGCCATACTAGCCAGCTCCTCGTTCAGCGATCCCTGCAAAGCGGAAACAGCTTTCCCGTAGTACTCTACTGCTACAGCTTGCACTTCGACATCGTCGCGGCAATATTTGGCCAGATCAGCCGAGGCAATCATAAGAACACAATTATGAACCTGTAGGCTTCCGAATACCGCTGGAAGCAAATATTTCAAAAAGTCTGATCTGCGTGTCCCAGTTCTGGTTGATAACCACCTTGGGCTGTGATCTATGAAATGAGATAATAGTCGCTCCGCCATCCCGGGCTTCGGGACGGCAAACACATTGAGCATTGCCTGTGCCTCATGTGGTAGTTGGATCACTGCGAGCTGTCGACGGCAACGTGACCGTCGTGTTCTAGGCACCAGCTCATTAGAAAACCACTCGCAGGCAAGCTGGTTTCTGTCGCATCCGCTGCATATAGGCTGCCGTTCGTCGCACTTTTTCTTACGGCGTCGGCACGTTAAGCAGCCTGTTCGAGATCGGGTCGAGACCTTGCCCATGGCAGGGACGAACAAGGTATCACCGATACGGCTATTATCTCCCATATGTAATAGCTGGTTAAATCACAGTGTGCATACAATTGAACATAACATGAGATGGCGAAGACCTGACAAGCTCAGAGCTAGCGCTACAGAGCACCCGTGGCTCGGATGTATGGTACACCAATCTAGCCTGTTAAATCAGCTTTGAAGGGCCTGTCTATTGGGCGGGTGGGAATGGATATAGGAGCAGGATCGAGTCATGATAATGATGGAAGCGTCGCCATGTGGCTGTATTTCTGCCCTGCCGAGAGCCGATGCGCTATTCCTGATTAGGTATAGGAGTGGGTCGGGTCTGTGTCTTGTTGATTGGTCCTTGTCGCCTTGCTGTTTGTGCTGGTACACTTCAATATGGAGAGCATCGGGAGTAGACTATGCAATATGGTCTAAGTAGTAGTAGGAGACAGAACAAATGTTCAACAAGCTACATGCTTCAGGCTTTTGCAGGCCATACATCTAGATACACAAAGAATAGGCGCCTATTTATACGGCAGTACGCGATTATAACGTACAACTTATTCAACCACGGAAGCTGCCAAGAAACCCAAGCCGTATGAGTTTTTGTAGCCCTGGCGGCCGTTAGCCTAAGCGCAGAACTCCATCAAACAGCGTGACACAAACGGTCATCCTCATGCTCCACCCATCACTCGCTTCCCACTGCTGTCCGCCCATAGAAGATCTGATACGGGTTATACTTATCCTTGATCTTCCGAAGCCGGCCATAATTCCTCCCATAGAAGGTTGATTGCAAATCTAGTTCATTCCAGCCGCCCTCATTGAGGTAGGCGCCCGCTAGCTCTCCAGGGGAGTGAGAGCCTCTACTTGTGGAACCAGCGCGTGGGCCATGAACCTTTGGCCATCCAGATTTACATGGCGATCGGTGTAATTGAATCGGCTGAGCGTTGTAACGTAGGTTCAGTTATAGATCATACATTCCAATAACAGCAGATACCGCGGCCTTCTGCCAGACATGGTTCACGGCATTACCAGATGATGCCCCTGTTGTTTGAGCTGTAGACGTTCATTAAGTAACTAGAAAAAGCAGCTTTATAGTGAAGCATCCCCTGCATGGTGGAGATGACCATCCGGGTCGGATTGGTGTTTCGATGGGGAGATGAGGCGACCCCCGACGTGGAACTCGCGTACATTCCTTAATGTCCTTGCGACAGAGTTATAATACGTTGGAAAGGTGTTGATAAAATAGTCCAGCTAGTCAAGTGTGTCTCCTTCCCCTGTAAGACGAAGGATAGACGAAAGAAAAATAAAACCTACCATACATCATATTATACCTTTGTAGTAGCGGCAATGTGGATGCCAGGTAGGACTGTAGCTCCTATTTTCCAACCCCACAGGTAAAGTTACAGGATCCGCGATAGACATAAACGAACCTGACACAAGAGACCACCAAGATCAAGCGACAGCGCGATGCCACCGGCATCCAGGAACAGAAGTGTACCAACAAGAAAGAACTGAACCACTGCCCAGAGGCGATCATCCGCAACCGCAGATGCAAACGAAAGACTCACCGAGATGGTTTCCTCTTCCATATACACCCGGCTGGTGGTCAATTTAATGATAGATTCGTGGAGTATTATGCTCTACGGAGTAGATGAACGGGGAATCTACACCGCGATTACCTGCAGCTGCCCCTAGTGGCTAACGAGTATTTAGCAGATTTCCTGTTGCATCTCGATTCGTGTCTCCACGCATAAGGAGTAGTGCTAACTATCCCAAAATTTTTGCATTCTTACATTCTTCCTAGATCGGCCGGTATGAACCTTGAAGGGACAAGCCGGAAAATGTGGGTCGGCATCCGGCTCTTGCCGATAAAGCCATCTTAACTCCTTTTAAGCCATAGTCGAAGATTGTATGATTTGGGAAGCTGGAATATGTCCCTGAAAAGGTCTGTTGAGCAAAATACAAGGCTTTGCGTCTACACTCAGTAGTGTGGCGAATACAACAGTCAGACTATGTGTGGGGATAACAAAGTCAACCAATACATTTGCTGAGGAATGCCAATGACTGGAATGAACCAGATCCATTTGGAGAATGTTGGCTGACACCTCTGGCACCTCATCTTAAGACCAAGCATTGACATTTTCGGCCACTTGATGCTCTAGGAATTACGAGGATATTAATTTTTTTTTTCTTTTTTTTTGTTGGACAGCCAAGAGGACAGTGTTACCGTAGGTCTATGGTATGCACCCGATTATGCGATACCGTTCTTAATACCAATACTGCTACTACCTTAGAAAGACTTCAGCTCCACACGGCTGTCAGAAGGCCCTGCCAGACTGTGGGCGAAATTGTAATGTTACCTACCCAAAGTCGAGTTGTCGGAAGGGTTGTAGGAAGAAGACATTGACACCACGATGTAAACTGGCGTTAGATAAGTCTTGAACCAATCCCGTCTGTACCATTTTTTTTTTTTTTTTGGCTAGATCCATTTATATGTATAACTTACAGGAGTTTCAACTGTCCCAGGGCTGCGAGTAAACCTGATTCTCTGGACAGTCAGTCGTGGGGCTCATGGTAAGACCAGGAGGAAAAGCTATTTGCTGTTGGTATGGGGACTGGAATCTTGTACGACTTTACTGAATCTCTTGCCACTGCTACTGTATCAATAATCAATATGAAAACGGTGAGAGGAATGTGACATGGACAACCACTGCGTGGAAATGTCTGTACCAACGCAGAAGTAAGAGTTAACAAACTAAAGCAGACTGCCTTTGCCATTTTCTTCACTCTCAACCAGATCAAAGTTTAGTGAACGGTAACATTTTGAGTCTATGATGCTTGGAGCCTCCGGTTTCAGGATCCAGATTGGAAAAGGAAAATCAAACAGAAACAAAAAAAAAAATTTGACAGTAAGCGCAAAAGATATAACAGTCTGTTAAGTTCTCCCTATACATCGTGCATTGCCCACATCAGACAAATTAATATCTTTTTAAGTCTCCTCCTTTGCAGTCCCCTGCTTTTCTCATCGAACAAGATGCGCGTCTCCTCACTTTGCCTTATCCTGAGTGCCGCACTCACAACCAGCGCCCAAATCCAAAAACCAATCTTGGAAAGCCAGAGTGATGTAGACACAAAGAGTTTCCTTCTCAAGGATATTTACCTTTCGATCGACCCTGTTACCAAGCGCACCCGGTGCTGCCCTATCGGTTCAAGGTACGATGGCACACAATGTGCCCTATACGACTGCCCAATAGGCAAAGTCCCTAACAATAGGGGCGGGTGCGACTATGCAAGCCCCTGCAAGCCGGGAGAATTTCCGGATGAAAATGGCAATTGCAAGGCTCCTCCGGATTGCTCCCACTTTGGTGGTGGCTACTGGCGCAACCCATCCACGGGAGACTGTGAGCCGGTTCCCTATATCCCTGGCGAGCAACTTTGCATTCTACCCTGCCCACCTGCAAATGGTTTGCCATAAAACCCTATTCGGGAGCCTTAGCACTGAGCCTAGGAAGACCAGAAGGTCTCTGTTAAACTTGTGCTTCAATGCCGCCCATGAACGGATTTTCTCAACATCATCTTTTCTGTTTCATACTGTTTTGGGTCGATGGATTCACAGCGCTTTTTCAGAACATGCTGGTGATTGTCAAAGGCCATACGGGCTTCAAGTGGGATACTTTGTACTTTGAGTTCTCAATGACTGTACCTAGCCAAACTCGAGCAATGCGGCCTTATCAATCCATTTCCAATATGAAATCTCTTAGTCCTTAAGGCCAATTTCAACTAAATGAGCGGTCTGTATATTAGGGACCACGTCTTGAACTGCTTACACGGTGCGGATACTTTTAGAACCAGGCATTTCAGGCACTGGACCTATATAGAAATTAGTCTTGCTGCCCATTTATGATGTATAATAACCCATCGTGATACATCCCGCAGTTGGGATCATTGTACAGTACTGGGCAGCAATACGACCCTTAAAGACACATCAGTTTACATTACATGAAATTATGATTGTTTTCATTATATTCATTACTATGATGCTTTGTTTCAAATGTTCTCGTAAATCTAGAATCCAATGTGTCATGGCTGGCCAAAGGTAGAAGAGATTTTTCATATTTTTTTGGTTTATTAGACAATCATCTCAAAGAGCAGTTCAGCAGCACAAGTCGTTTGACATAAGCATTCACTTTTCCGGTTGTATCAAAATCGTCCAATTTCGGTCTCGCAGGAATTTGAGAAAAAGTGGAAATGGAAAAAATGCTGACACGTTGATAGTCGCGGACCACCGCGCCTTCCGGTATTGGGTTCAAGAAAGAAATGAACCTAAATGATACTTCATGTATCCATTGAATGCGGACGTCCTCTGTCTTCGTAATTAACTTGTTTTCCAAAAAAAAATAAAAAAATAAAAAAATAAAAAAATGGCAGTTGGTGGGTAGGATGAGGTTAGTTTCCATTGCTACGGTCGATCTCCAATATTCTTATCCTACATGCAGAGTACCACTTGGATTGGATGCCCCACAAATTGATGCAACCTGTTTTAGCAGGAAATAAGATTGCTTCCGGACATCAGGGTAGGATCTAGAATGTATATCCAATATTACATTCAAAGTCCTCCTTGACGAAGATGGTAAGGTGGGCCCAATTCTGGCGCCGATATGCGACCTAAGAAGACATGGACGGATTAACATGCCAGAAAGTATTAGAGTTCACAATTTAAAAGAGCTGTCAAGTGATGACGTCTAACTTAAGGGGACCATTGTCATCCACCTTGTCCAAAAACAGAGGTAAGAGGGGGATATATATATGACAAGAGTAACCATGCCCAGTTGAACAACTAGTGGTTCAAAAGAGTCCATAGCATTTCCACTGTACGTCGTTTTCCGAATTTATCCGAGACAAACTGGCATCATACCACCTACCGCCTTTATACCATGCATTTAAATTCAATCCTCCTTACATTACCAGCCATAGCAGGACACTTTCAACACGTCCGTGCTGCAAGCTCTTGCTTCGCAGCAAATGGGAACAGCCCAACTGCAAACTTTGATGCATGTTGCTCCGGCCAGTCTAGCGGCACGGAACATATTGGCAACACCAAGTATGTGTTTAAGTGCGATACCTCTGGGAACAAAAACTCCAGAGGGCCGTTAGGCGCTAAAAGTGCCCTGGCATGTGCCCAATTCTGCAACAATGATCCTTCGTGTGTATCGAGCACTTGGCTGAGCGAACAGGGCCACTGTTATTGGAGTGACAAGGTTGGGACCGGCCGAAGTGACCGTGATACCCAGAAATACATGTGGCTCGTCAAAAGCGGCACGGATGACAACGTACCAGACCCAGGGCCAGAACCGGATTGCCAGCAGAAAGTCGCCGTTGCGGTTCAGAAAGAGAAACAGACATGTGCAAGGAGTCTTAGCGAACTGAAGGGGAAGCATTCCGCCGCCATTAGATCCTGTGAGAAGAGGAATCAGGAACTTGAGGACCAGCTACGCGAGGGCATGACCCAACCGAAAAGAGAGTGGAAGCTGTTGTCAGGAAATCTTAAACATGACGACGAGGCTAGGTCTGTGGCTTTCTCACCAGATGGAAAGATTCTGGCATCCGGGAGTAGTGACGGACAGGTGAACTTTTGGGACATGGAGAACTCTGGTTCCCTCCACCAATGGAACGATGATGGCGCGGAGATCTCCAGCGTTGTGTTTTCTCCGGATGGGAAGCAGCTCCTGGCTGCTGACGCATTGGAGGGTAACGTGTTTCTGTTCGATGTCCAAACAGGGAGAAAAGTTGAGGAGTTTACCGGTCACACCGAGGATGTCAACAGCGTTGCGTTTTCTCCCGACGGCCTAAGATTTGCCTCGGGGTCTACAGACAATACTGTCCGACTCTGGGACCTTTCAACAAAGGCCTCGCATGAACTGACAGGGCATACCGATAATGTTCTGTCAGTGGCATTCTCGTCTGATGGCAAATACCTTGCTTCCGGGTCCAAAGACCGGACAATCCGAATCTGGGACGGAAAGACTGGAGCGTTTGTCCGCAGTATAACGGGTCACAGCGGCCAAGTGCGAGCAGTTGCGTTCCCCCGGTACGGCTTTTCCAACCTTCTGGCCTCTGGGTCTAATGACAAGCTGGTGAAATTGTGGAATGTTGATACAGGAAGCCTCGAACGAGACATCCCTCACCCAGACACGGTAGTTGGCCTTTCATTTTCTCCAGATAACAGACAGCTTGCGTCGACATCTTACGACAAGCATATTCGGCTCCTGTCGCTTAATCAAGGTGATGATATCGACTTTTACCACGGTGCTATTAATAGCAATGCCGTTGCATTTTCACCTAAAGGAACTAACTATGTCGCGTCTGCCTTTGTCGATGGTTCGATAAAGGTGTGGACGAGCGCTTGAAAACGAACCAAAGCATGGAGGGGTTAAGGTCAAGGAAGGAGAAACAGATAGCGCTGTCTATGTTACTTAGAATAGTTCCAAATGGGTATACATGATGAAATTCCTTCAATAGGTCTATCATGATCCTCGATATTGGACTCAAGACAATCCAGATATTGCGTCGACCTCATGCCCGAGACCAAGAGTATTTAAATGTGAATCGCACCTATGGTGTTTGTGTCACCATGTTCTGTCTCTTAATCTCAGTGGTCAAGTCACGAGGATTTAATCCTCGGGAGAAACGTTAATACATTCTTATTTACTATTCGATAAGACTCAACTTAGAACCCCTCTGCAGATCCTTTATTTCGAACCATGCCATTTGGAAGGAAGCAAGCTTCTCGGACACTGAATCCCGGGTTTGGCTTCATTGCTACTAATATATAGTCAATATTTATAATCAAGAAAAGCATAGTGCAAGCTCGAGCTGGAAGTAGAGGTACATAAGGAAAGGGATTCGTTTAGTTCCTGATAGTAATTCATCTACCTTTTACCACTAAGAAACAAGCCGGATAGCCTTCCAGTAAAGTAAACATATTACCATGATTCTAAAGAACGTCAGGCTACGGCGCAGGTTCGATTCGGTTAATGAATTGTAATAAGGAAAGAGATTTATGCCAAACCAAGCGTTAGGGTGTTATACTTAAAATTCGGTTATTCGCTAGGTCTACATCATACGAATGACTCACTCACTCACAATCACACCTGACCTTCCATAAATTCCACGTAGCTGTTACATCCTTATTCCGAGATAGACCAGCAGCGGCAAAATATCCGCAACCGACTGATTCTACTGTAATTTACTATTGTGGAGACGCTCTCAAGGGCAAGCTGAAAACTGCCGTTGCTACGTTAGGGGTCGTTTATGAAGCGGAACAGGGCTGCAACGAACCCTAAAAAAAACAGGGTCGGGTAGAACCTTAGAACTACTAGTCCCCTCATCAATGTCACGATGCAAGCGACTCAAGTAGTGAAACCAAGATATGTAAGGTATGACTATTGCAGTCTTGGTATCATTGAGCGTCACAATTCTCTCCTAGGAAGATACAACAGTGTAACCCCGACACTTTGCAAGAAAGGATAATCTTCTAGGATGACGTCAAGGTAGTTCTGGCCTAGCTGATTGCTTTTCAGCTGCTGTTTGAATACGGATCAAATATATGGGGATAAAAAAATAAAAAGAAAAGAAGAGGAATGATCAATGGTGGTGGGGAGACCAGATCAATACTACATGGGATCGATCAGTCAGAGGGGGGTCTGTCCCGTTGAATAGCTCACTTCGTCGCATACAACTCGTCATTGACTCAACGAAAACATCAATCAGTGAATGAGAAATTGGATTCTTGAATAAATCACCAGGTCATGATATACGGAAAAGTCGGGGCTGGCGTAGAGATAAATAATGTCTAATTATCCCACTTTTGCTCTTAGTCGCCCGGTGACCTCGAATTCTTTTCCAATCGACCTTCTAATAACCGTATCCCCTATCACTTCTACTATCCATTAGGAAAATCCGCCAAAGCGAAATAAACCCCTTAAGCATGACATCCGCGTCACTTCAGACCGAGGCTAGGGATGGAACCCTCACTCGAACCTCGCTCAAGGATTACTTGAAGCTTGTCGACATTGATGTGCTTGATGATCGTGGCAACACCGCACTTTCCATGGCCATCCGACACGGCCATGTTGGTGCCGTCAAGCTCCTCTTGCAGAGCGGGGCCGATCCCAACCGAAAGATTTGGGATGGCAGAGCACCTCTCTACCTGGTCTCCTTCGCCAACGACAATAGAGCACGAATCGGCCAGCTCTTGATTGAGCATGGTGCGAAGGTAAATGAGAGCCTGACAGAATGGGGTAATGAAACCGCACTCATGGCGGCCATTACACACGCTCGAGATCCCGAGTTGGTTCAACTGTTAGTTGAGAAGGGTGCCTCTACAGCCGCGAAAAACGATCGGGGAGAAACAGCAAATGATCTCGCCCGTCAATCCACCAATCCCAATATGTCCAGGGCAGTTCTCCCCAAGGATCAGCAAGGCAACTTTTTGCCGGGATTATCACAAGTCTTGGCGAATGCTGGCATGCTGGCACTTAACTTCTTCCCTCAGTACAAGGATGCTATACAGAATGCGTACAAGGACGTTGCCACCTATTCAAACCAGCAGGCCAATCCTTCACAGAAGAAGGTAAATAGAAAGAACCCAGTCAACTTATACTATTGGGGTACACCATTTCTAATACTACGACAGGACATCGAGGAACCCAAAACCGAGGATGATTTCAAGCTGGTTCTGCTAAATTTCGTCGAGGATACGGGCCTGGAGGATTTCTATCCGGCTAACAGCCCTACCGTGGCTGCTGTGGCGCGAAATGCAGTTGCACTTCAAAATGATCCTACAAATATCTTTACGACGGCCTCGGCAATCACAACATTGGCCATGGCTGCCTTATACCGGCCTATCTTCTACTGCGGTATAGTTATTCCCTTATATTAAAGATGTCCGTGTTATGGCTAACTGGTGTGTATTGCAGATGACAGCGGATCCATGGATCCTACTGTGAATAAAAAGAAGGAAGATCGATGGAGTAGTCTGAAGACGGTGGTGAAAGAGATGGCTGAGGTCATAACTAAACTTAAGGAGCCTGGGAGGAGGAAGGCGGACCTTCGCTTCATTAATACGCCGCAGAATGGGGGCAATGACATTCCGTCCGATCAGCTGACTGATCACTTTAATTTCAACCCAAGAGGAGGGACCGAGCTCGGTGGTAAATTGAAAGCCAATGTTCTTGATGCGTATATATATGATCCCATCAATTCGGGAAAATCACTGGCGGAGCCACTCCTCATCATTACAATCACCGACGGATGTCCAGAAGGAGGAACAGAGACCGTGGATACCTTCCGCAATGTGGTCCAAGACTGTGCCACATGGGTTGTTGACCCTAGTCGTGGCTACGATAAGAAGGGTATGTCTCTCTTTCCCTCTCTACACAGAAAGAAGCTACACAGAAAAAGTCTTGCTAACTCTTTTTAGCTGTCAAACACAGTCTCAACCAGATAGGAACTGACGAAAAATCGAAAGAATTCTTGCAAGGGTTGATTGACAATCCTGTTGCCGATGATGTCCTCCATGTCGCAGTGGGTAAGTTGATATCCTGTTGGATCCACACTACCAGTACAGGATTAACACTACGCGATATAGAACAGCTCGATGTGAACCCAGATTTCCGTGATAATTATCAGCAGCGCTTGACATGGGTATGTACAAGTAGCCACTATGCCAGACGAAATACTGACAGTTTTCTACCAGCTCAGGAAAACCTTGAGAAAGAAAGTTTAGGTCAGATATTCCGCGGTCGACTGCAAAAATGGCTAATTGACCACCTAGCATGGGTTTCATCTGCGTAGTGTGTCTAGGCTATGGGCAAGCTCGAGGATATGCGATATTCGTTGGTTAGCCTATACAATTCGGGAAAGATCATTTATAATTTAGTTACTGAATTCTACCTACTACTCATTTTGCGTCTTTCTGTTCCTAGTAACTTAAATAACATCAATCATAGCAATGCCAATCTATATCTCCAGGAAGTACCATCAAAGTGTCAGCCTAGGATCGCCCCTACCACATCTCCACGACAATGACAGCCATATAACGGTAATACTGGATTTGAAGATCATAGTATCTATCTAGTACGCTGGAACCATGCAGGAAGTGGAAGCAACCGCAAATTCAATGTATACGATTAGGCTGATGCCATAATTCTCACATTTCCCGATAGCAGCCCATACTCTGAGTGTGAATCTAGATCTGCGAGTGCTTTTCACAGCAAATATGTCATTATAAAAGAGAAAGAACAGATTTGGACTCGTTCTGGTACATCTCTAACCCCAGAGGTGTCCTTTGGCGCTCTCAAAAGGATTTGCACCACGACTGCCGACTGGCAACACGTGTGAAGGGCCAGTGGTTTCGGACATGGATCGGTTCAGTTTGGCAGGAATTTCTTTTGTACGTGTTTGCCAGAATGTAATGATCAATTTGATTAAACTTTGGGACATGCTTGTGCAAGTAGTAAAAGTTTGATGCTTCTCTGGGGAAAGAAAAAAAAAAAAAAAAACACCTCAAAGATGGGTCGCCAACTGACGTGCTGTACAGTCCTATATATGGGTCAATGGTACTATTTATCTTCCACAGGCCCGGCCACATTTGGACGTAGAGAACGAAGCACCCTGGCAAGATTCCCCACGGCAACGTGATATACGGGAATATCCTAGAAGGTGCACAATCGTCAGCTGCAAATCTTACCCAATACACAATAATCGCTGTTCTCTACAATGATGTCCATAATAAAGTCTCTCAGTGTTGGTAACAACACTCCCTGCCCCAATAGTACATCCATCACCAATCGTTACTCTGGCAAGATGATCACATTACCCGCAATCCAGCAGTCATTCCCAATGGTAATCGGTCGGCCCCACTCAGGGCCCTTGGTCCCGTTCCGCAAGTCAGGATCAGTAGGGTGGCCGGCACTATAAAGCGACACACTCGGACCGATAAGCGTTCGTGACCCAATGGAAACCATGCAAGTATCAGTAATGGTGCAGTTAAAGTTGATAAAAACGTTGCTCCCGACTTTGATATTCGTTCCGTAGTCGATGTTAATGGGTCGTTCGATCCACGGATATTCGTGTAAGACAGCATCTTCCTCATCCTCAGTCTTGCCAGGGGGTGGTAAAGGCTTTTTGTCGTTTGTGATTCTGTATTTCATTAAATTCAGGCAGGCGAAAGGGCGTTATACAGGGAGGTAGTTGTTGTAGAGTCTAAGATCTGGCACCGGTTCGAAACTCACTCTTTCCAGTACTCGGCTATTTGCCTCCGGGTGAGATCACCAGCATTGTTCAGTCGACTCACAGCTCTTGCACACCGTTTCCGGGCGGCCACAAGTTGTGGAGTGAATGCATAGTACAGTTCGCCGCGCTCCATTCGACGAAGGTTATCCTCTTCGTTGATGTTGGTTAACATGGTGGTATTGGCTCGCAGTATGGGCTCGAATTAGCACACTGGACGGCAGATATGGAGAAAAAAAGGAAATTACAGGACAAGTAGAAGATAACTTCACCTTTCTTAAACTCGTTCTGAAGGGTCTTCATATGGGATATAAATACTTCGCTTGACCCACTTGTCGAATGCTTGGTAAGGGACCAGTCTAACCATAACGGGCGATGGAATAGCCGCGATGGTGGAGCCGTTATTATGAGAATGTAAACCCGTCTAATGATGCTTGTATCTTTTCCGTAGGTGTACATTAGACTTAGTATAGCAAATTACCGATATGACCAGCCATATTCAGAAATTCGAGCTTTATTGAAGAGATTTATGGACTATTAACGTATTCAACGTCCTGGGGTATCAATCGGACATTATTATGTACAGCTTGGGTGTGCAGGAGGAACAGCAAAGGACGACTAAGTCTTATCAATACATGTGAGAGAAAGGAGAGGGTGGCCTTAAAGTAACACTGGAGCTGACCTGGTACGGGGGATATTTTATCTCTGTGCTAACCCAGGCCCCTTCCCTTCAGTCAACTGAGATTGGTCACTCTCTTTATCTGGTTGTAATGCCAGACAGCTGTAGTCCCCTGGCCGCGTAGATCCGTTCGGAATATGGAACCGCTTGTCAAAGCGGCTAAAGGTCAGGAGACTGAGAATCATGATCTCCAACACGAAGTTAAACACGTAGAAGCATGCCTTGGAGTCATACCAGGGCGGGTTGGTTGCAGGCCGGGGGGGGGACCAATTGACGCCAGCTTTGAACCCAGCGATGAGAATACATAAGCACGACGAGAGAACGATAATTGCAACTTTGCTGGCCGTCCCCCCTTGCCCGAAGGATTCTTCCTGTCGTGACTTTGGTAGGATAAATGCGATCAGGACCTGTGCAAGAGGAAGGCAGGTAAAGACGAGGAGATAGGTGATAGCTGCCAGTTGGACGTCGCGACATTGAGACCGTGTATGCATATCCAGTGTGTATAAGGATACCACTGTGGATGTGATTACCATAACCAAGGCCCCGAGAATCAAGACGTAAAGAAGCTTGGAACCTTGGCGCAGGATGGGGTGCCAGCCGATGTGAGGCTGCTTGCTGCGGAGAATACGCTGAGCGAGGATGAAGTTGATGATGTATACCAGGAGAACCCCCGCATTGACAAAGATATTGGCGGCAATAGCGAGTCGGACATTGCGTTGTCGATTGGCCCAGACTATACGTAGGACAAGGGTGGTGATTCTTGCCATGCAAAACCCAAATAGCATCCCAGACATCACGAACTTGTGGCCCCGCCGGCGGTTTTTCTGGAAAATGGTCATGTTTGTAGCAGCGAATGCAATATACAAGACGAGGAAGACTGCGCATATTGGGACGTCAGGTATTATGGTTGGAAGGCCTCCCATTCCCGCGGTTGTGGACGCATATGGTCCACCGCGAATTTGCAAAGACGACGACATTTTATTGGAAGGGTTTTCTCGAAGGTCTGATGGCAGATAGTAGTGGAATATCATTGCATTTCGCTCGTTGTAGCGAAAGGAGACATTCATTTGCGCTACCTACCTTAGTACTAACTATATAAAGCGCTTCGCGCGTTGACGCTGCCCAATCAGGATCGCGATTCGGACGAATTAGGGTTCCGCGGACCAAAATATTCGTCCGTTCCGACACGCAACCCTCACTTGAAACTACAGTCTACCACCACCACACCATATAATCTCGCCCACCTGTTCCTTAGTTCGACCCAAAATTTCGGACGTCGGTCTTTAAAATGTCTCCGTCCGACATACCCCGCTCCGGTCTCCGGAAAGGAACGAAAAGCTGCACCGAGTGTAGGTTAGTTTTAAAACTCTACAAGACCACATGTCTGATCTCGCGAGACAGGCAGACGACGGAAAGTTCGCTGCATTAGGATTCCTCGAGAAGCGGATACGTGCCAACAATGTGAGGATCGAGGGGTGGCCTGTACTGCACAGGTGTCGAACAGGACACGATCATCGCAACCCTCGCGACTCTCATCACGACTCCGCATCGCTCAGCTCGAATCTCAGGTCGCCCAGTTAACAGGAGTTGTAAACAACATCGAACTCAAGCTGGGCTATAAACCATCTCAGATCCCTAGCGGTAAAAATGACCAATTCTCGGGCCCCGACGACTCTGAAGGAGAAAGTAGTGGGTCGGATATTCCCATGGCTGAAAAACCATCACACCTGCAATCGCTATTCCAGAATGACTGGCTGAGTGCTGATCCATGTCAACATGAGAATCAGGCGGAGCAACGCTTGGATAGAATCTTTGCGCAACTGTCGATCGATGTGCGACCCAAACTCCAGAACATGATTCCACCAAAGGATGAAGTTGCGGATATTGCGGGATCCGCTTACGATTGGTTGACCGTTCTTCATGCCCTATTTCCACAACCACTGATGCTGGAGTCTCCCCAAGAACTACTAAACGGTTACGAGTCAATGTGTAGTCCCAATATAGACGTTATCATACTAGCTTCTTGGCTCCTTACGCTTGCCCTTACCGCACAGCAAATCCATCCACGGCGGGAAGGTTCCGACGTATATCTGAGAAAGTGCCAGAGAAGGTTTGAATTTTGCCAATCGATCATACACATAGTGGATGATACACTGCTCTGTCATGATCGATTGGTAGGAACTATTCAAGGCCTTGGAATGGCTCTACATTTCATTAGACTGTGAGCGTTACCCCTAAAGGAGAAGGACCGAGAAAGAAAGAAGGTGCCCTCTGTGCCATCTCCTTATCTACGTGATATCTTTTCATTTCGGGTACCGTTTGGCTTTTATTACGTGCTAACAGGCAGAAGTCAAGTAGGTCAAGGGAACTTTCAAAAGGCCTGGATTAAATTACGCCACATTATCGCGATAGCAGAATTGATGGGCTTACCCAAAGTATTCCAAGCAATGCGCCTCAACCAGCCTACCTACACGGATGACACATCAGTTCACAAAGTCCAGTTATGGCAAGCAATCTGTAACATAGAACGGCTAAATGGCATGATACTAAATCTTCCCCCGGGGACCGGACGGTATCAACTTACAACAGCTTCTCCACTTAATGCCGATGGCAGCATCCACCTCACAACCTATCTCACCAGACTTTTGAACATTTCTATCAAGGTTTACGATTTGGACGAATTTAGTGCTACACATGAATCCAGTATGAAAAGGCAGATGGCCGCTCTGGAGATGGCTCAAGCCCTTGGAGAACTCGCGGGCCAGGCACCAGATACATGGTGGGCAGGCGATGAGCGAGATCACATAACACCAGATGATATCGTACAGTTTTTGCATTGCTGTGTCCTCATGAGAGTTTATCTACCATTGGCGCTGAAGCAGAACCTCGGCGATGAGCTCGTGTATGCTCGGCTACCGTGCATGAATGCTTGTGAAGCAGTAGCACGCCGGTATCTAGTACTCCGGAGAAAGCTTCCCGCAGGCTTGTTCATGTCTCGAATACTGGATCTACAGGCCCTTACAGCAGCGTCCGTACTCCTTCTCCTCTCCCACCACGTCCGCTCAACAGACCGTCATAGCCTTCGTGTCGATATAAGCCACCTCCGCGGAGTAGTCTCGGACGTCATCACTTTAATTGGCGAAAGGGCGAGAGACCCAACCAATTCAGAGCTCGCAGTAGAGGCATATAACACTCTTCGTGCTTTAGACCAACTCCTTTATCAAGACGACCGCACTGGCGAGGTTGAAAGATTAACAGTTACAGTGCCGTTACTGGGGAAGATACATGTCCGACGTAACACCCGATCAGCTCCGCAATCCAGGGTAACTAACCAGCCGTCGTCTCAGCTAGAGTCAAATATGGGTATTCAAAAGTGGATTTCTGCATCACATCCACTAGAGGGTCAATCCGGCCTCGGCACGAACGTGCCCGTAAACGAGACTGATCCAACTCCCGACGAATGGCGGTTGGCTGACCTTTCCTGGTCAGTTGAAGGCAGCCTTGATAACCTACTCGAGGATGTTTTCTTGAACGAAAGCATTGGGCAGTATGTAAACATTTGAAGCGTTGGCCCCCTCCCTACCGGCGATGACCCTTTTGTTCATGTGTCTGGAATCCCTAGTCTTATGTCGAAGGTTTCCATGTATTCCACCTCTCCATCCTGTACACGATCTACGATAACGGGGCGGGCGCCCGAACGGTTTTTGACCAGCGAACTCACCGGAAAAGTTAAGGTAGTCTATATTTTTGAGATAGCCCCTGTTGTACCATTTTCATGATCATTTGATAGTGAATTTAAGGATGTGTAGACGAAATATCTACACCGTTGTCCTTCAAACATGACCATTGAGGGCTAGATGATGAGGATCCCAGTGTGGAGGAAGTTCCTTGAAGAGTATTGATAGATTCCTGGCTTTTTTTTCATCGTAGTATATAGAGCCTATAATATCTGCCTTTACTATTAGTGATAATAGTTTTTATACGATGAGTCAAGGAGGCCTTGTCCCGGCTTACTGGTGCAAAGTTTCTATCTAATTTATCAATTGTACAAATCCTACATCATTCCCCTTCTCTTTCCCTTATCAACATTATTATCAACATTATTATGAGCATTTCAACAAACCGCCTATCGGGCAAGAAGAGGTAGATAGACAGCAGTAAACGAGCGAGGTGAAGGATAACAGCAAATAGCAAATGATATAGAGAAGCTCTTAGCACGTAACACACTTGATGGCTAACAGACACTTGATGCTGATTGAGTCGATACTACCCTTGTGTGTATTGTAGTACATGCTATGGGAATGATGGGGTTCTACCAGAGTAGGGGTGGTCAATGGTATATTTTTCACAGTGATCATTAGTACGAATACTGTTGAAGAAAGACAACCAACAAAAGGCTGAGCACATCAAGACCTTCAAGAACAGTATTATCATGTTGTTAGGTATCCGCTCTCTAAATCCAGTACGCGGTTATACTCTTATAGGAATCCCAGGCGACCATCCTGGAATTCCCATCAATCAAACATTTTGCACACTCGGGCTTCCTGGTCGAGAACCACTTCCGAGGCCACTCGGACTTCCTGGTTGAGAGCCCGTTCCCCAACATATTGCCTCCGCAACCAGACGCCCGGAAAGGGGCTTAGTTTGGTCGGTTTCGGTGGTAATAGTGATGTAGCAGTCATCTCCTTGGTATCGGCACTACTAGGGTTAGTATCAATGTATCAAGATGATTTCTAGCGGTTTTCGTACCCCAGTGGCAGGCCGGCATACGACATCCCAATTATTTAGTCCTGTGTTGGGATTTCGGTCCGAAGCGACGCATGAATGTCTCGGAGGATATCCTGCCGAATTTTTAATCTTACATTTCTTTATGCAAGTCAGTCTCACGATTGGTGATCATCTTTTGGCTTGTGGCTGGAGTGACTAACACCTGGATACTGCTTTTTCTTCTTGGTGAGTTGTTGATAGTCTTCAAGCTTTTGTGGTGGTCCCACCCCTTGTACCGGTGGTTCTAGGGGCTTGGCTTCTTGGGGCTGTGATCCTCCTTGGAATTGAGAGCCTCCTTGAGCTGGCAGATTCCCTTGAACTGACTGCTCCCCTTGGACAGACTGGCCACCTGACGGGGGAGCTGCTCCCGCAAGGTTGGCGGAAAAGAAGGCCAGAATACACGCAAAGACAATACCGCTCTTCATCCCGAAATAATATCGAGCAGGTGAGGTGCAAAAAATAAAGAAAGGTCAGGAGAAGTGGGCTACGGTTCTATATAGACATCCAGAAGGACAATCGGCTTTTACTTATAAACAAATAAGTGTATCCTGGTTGGAAAAGAACCCCCTATCTTACAAAGAAGCATAACACGTAGGAATATTAAAGTTTCTTAAAAATCGTACTGGGCGCGTTAGGGTTCTGCTATATTCTCTCTCTTTGTAGCAATTTTTGTGGCTTCTTTGTTATGCGATGTTTTGTCAAGACATAATAAAATAGTTATGGGTATGAACCTTCAAGACAAGGGGAAAAGGGATGGGAGATGGGCAAAAGGTATGGAACCAACGGGGATGCTATACGATGCTTGCCCGGCTCAAAGTTTGATACCCGTCGTTATTATCTTGATTATCCCTGGAGCTTTGTCTACGGAAGGCCAGCTCCGCCAGGCTTGACTTCTTCATTATAGTATTCATATCCTCAGGGACACCTTATACTTGCCACTGTAATAGAAGATTCACGCTCTGTCGGCTAATATTCTATCTAGATCTACGGGTGTCGAGTAAAACAACCGGTACTCCTACTTTCACCGGTCCTCAATGGCATCGCTTGTACCGAACATAGCACTTTACTATAGAGTACGTCTAACTAGAAGACGAGGTATCTTCTACAATAATTACCTACACCCCAAACTCTAATGTGAACTGGTAGCCAAGGAATCGGCCAAGAATCGGGCGCCCGATTTCTGATGATCCACGGTGTTACAGGTTATTTTGTATATATGTGCGAACCTAGTAGGTACGCTTGACGAAAAAGTAAAAGTAGACGTAATTGGAGACATTCGTTCCATGAGAGCTGGCCGTATAAGGACCCACCTTTTCCGTGGTCCCGTGGAAGCGGATATTCGAGAATTTGGATGTGGGACGCGACATGAAGAGGAAAAAGATCGAAAGGCAAAAAAAGATAACCGTCCCAGGTGAGGATCGAACTCACAACCTCCTGATTAACAGTCAGACGCGCTAACCAGTTGCGCCACCGAGACAAATTGTTGAAAAGCGCTCAACTGCTTTAATATATGAGCCAAAGAAAGTCTTGTACAGATCGAACATACATTTGAATGACAATCTTGTCCGCTTCCGCAACATCGTGTCTTTACAACAATTGCAATTTACCAATATATTACGCACTATATCTATAACGGGAGGAATTGATCCCTTAGAAAAAGAGTAAATCCACATTCTTTCTCTAAAATGGATCTCAGTAGAACAATTATTTCTTCGAGACCTATTTCGATGATAAATAGGAAAGGAGGAGCGAAGGATAAATATATATAAAATAGCCTCTACGACTTGTTTGACACATTGGATGGAGAACTTCGAAAGATACCCCCCTTACCTATAAGATGATGATCGGTCTTGAACTGGCACTAGCAACAGAGACACACCCGAGACAAAGTAACGATGGCCATTGAATAGAATCCACAGGAATAATAGGGTTTATATAGGTGGTCTCGCGGGTTAGTCTGATTATGGAAGTCGGCGGACTAACTCAACTACTAGGTCAAAATGGACATTCTTACATCCTACTATTACAACTTCTTTTTCTAAGTAATGTATTTTATCAATCTAATCTATACAACATGTTGAAGCTAGTTATATTGCCGGTCGTTATGAATAAGCAAGAAGTAAAGTCACTTTGTGGGTCTGAGAGATCGTTGCAACCAAGACCTAGGTAGAAGGATTATAATGCTGGACACGGCCATCAGAGTAGCTACCGTTGGAACTGTTATACTTATCCCCATGCTTTCCCGACGCCAGCTGCAGGGGCAATCGCCACGATGTTGTACATGTCAGCCCAATCCACATTCAATCATATTTGTCTCACCATCCGATTGGTAATATAGAACAGGGTAATGAGTCTGTTGAGGTGTCCAGACAGAATGCTCATATCCGCCGCGGCGCCTGTGCTCTGCGAACCATGTAGCGACAGTACAACTCCTTCATCAGCCATAGTTTGGGCAGGGAAGTCTTTCAAGCCGTCGCCGATCATTGCCACCCTGAATGGATGACTATTCAATTGAGAAATTGCCTTAGCACTCTGAGATGGAGCGACCGCAGACTGAAGGATGTCAATTTCCCCCAACTCTTTGGAGACTCTTTGGGCTCCGTGTATATACTGGCACTTAGTGCTGTATAGCTAATCTCAATATCTTCAGAGTATTACCAGATAAGCAAACCGCTAAGGGGGAGTTGACTAGTTTTGTATGTCTACCTCTACTCGAGCACGTGTCCAGAGCATCGTGCCGCGGAACGTATTCCCATATTGAATACATTGTACTGCTAAAGCATGTTGCTAATCGAGTTGGGAAAACCTGGCCCTCAAGACCACATATGATGGCTGGGTATATTTTATATCCCGATTTTGAATTACGACTTTCATCTCCACTGACCACGATTTGGAAAAATCTCATTTTGGTAGTGTGGTTGAGAAATCACTCCTTGGAAGCGTCGCGTGTGTTGTCACGTTCTTAAGCCTTGGGGTATATATGTCAAAGAGCGATCAATTAACTTTACGTTCTTGAAACAAGCAGACTATAATTAAGTGATACACCAGGTACAAAAGTAGAACTGACAGAACCTCCAGACAAGGGTAACAATGCATTATATCTCTGATGCCAGTATCTTTCCATTACCACCCAATCTCATAAATGAACCAGGCTACACCTGGCATTACAGAGAGCGGACAATCCCAGTTGGTAAGTTGAGAGCAGAAATATTGCTACATATTTATTTCCATTGCAAGCCATTATTATATGTCTCTCTCTCTCTCTCTCTCTCTGGCGATATCACCCTGATATCCCACCTTTGGCACTACTTCGCCCGTAGAAAAAGCCTTATTGTATCTCTTAAACAGGACAATAATAACAGGGGGAATAAAATTGTGGAAAAATGTCTACTTTGCGGGTGGGGTCCCCAGGTTTTGGAAAATATATAATCAAGGCCTCAAAACCAATCCAACATCTACCTAAATATGATTGATATTCACTTCCAGCTTCAGTACTATGTACGGAGTATTTCTTTTTCATTTGCTCCGTACCCTGAGCCTTAGTCACTGAGGTCCGTCCTGCTTGCCTTCTCTGGAGTTAGCTCGGTGGAGAGGCCCACACTGGAAGAATCAATAGGGCCATAGGCTCTGGTATGGTTGCATTGGCCCCTGGGACCCATAGTCTAACTAACCAATGATCAAGGTATGAAGATGGACTAAAATTACGATCCCCGCTGTCAATATGTAACACGCTATCTTATCTAGCACAATCGCAATATGTCCAGCGTATTTACTAAACGGTTAGAGCTTTCTTGGCAGAGTTGGGAAATGAGGTCCCTCCGCACCCTCCCACGAGGTTCCATTTTTTTTTTTGACAGTCTGGCCGGAAATCACGGCCTGGGGAATTTGTTGAGAAATTGACATGGGTTTTAGTCTTTCCATTCTGTTCTGATAATCATAGCATGACCCCTGGACAATGTCATCCCTCTTCTTGCGACGAACCCGCCAGCGACTCAAATCAGTTATCGCTGCCTCCGTTATTCTAGCTACCATCACGGTTTTGCTCCTCTCGAGAACCAAATCTCCTCAGGCGCACGTTGAAACCGTCACTTTTCCTTCGTCTGCAGGACCCAGCATTGCCTCGAATAATGATAGGAACTCCAGCAACTGTTATGTGGACCTTGAACTCCTAAGATCACACGGATACAACTCTTCCGCAGAGTACAGACGATGGGAGATCGCAGTACGGCGTTCAAAGAGTCACAATGGCGTTTCCGATACTCTAAATGTCCCCGTTCCAAAGTTTGAAATACTCGACCTAGACACCGACGATGATCGGATCTATCTCCCGGAAACCCAATGCGTTCCCACCGCCACGATCGACGCCCCCGCGCCGAACGCACGAGCGAACGCATCGCATATGATGTTCGGTGTTTCGACCTCCCTCGAGCGACTGAGTGACTCGCTGGGCCCTTTCGCACACTGGGCGGGAGGAACAGGGGCCCGGATCTTCGCAATGGTCGACGTTGTACCCAAGAAGGAAAAGTTGAAGGTTTTGAACCGGGCTCAGGAACTGGACATCAAGCTTACCATCATCGAGTCGAAGGAAGAATGGCTGGACCGATACTTCCGCTTGACCAAGGTACTCTGGGAGAACCGCGATGCCCATACGCAGTGGGCGGTCATCATCGATGATGATACCTTTTTCCCGTCCATGTCGAACCTCGTCGAGAGACTCGCTACCTATGACGCTACCAAACCGTATTACATCGGTGCCCCGACCGAGAACTGGGGACAGATGAATATCTTTTCATTTATGGCGTACGGAGGTGCCGGGATATTCCTTTCTCTTCCCTTACTTCAGCAGATGAACGAGGTCTACGACGTATGTTATGCCTTCAAGGATCACGGTGATAAGCGGATCTCCCAGTGTATCTATCAACACACCACGACCAAACTCACCTGGGAGCGAGGGCTTTTCCAGGTGGACTTTGGGGGTGACGTGACTGGCTTCTTTGAATCTGGCCGGCCGTTGCCACTTTCCATACACCATTGGAAGTCCTGGTATGATGTGGATGTGGTTGCTCTCGGTAGGGCAGCTGCCGTCTGCGGCGACGACTGTCAGCTTCGACGGTGGCGCATATCGGATAGATGGTATTTTATCAATGGGTTCTCTCTTGTTCAATATTCCTCGCCTATGAACGATATGCTCGGTATGGAGCAGACGTGGGATCCCAGTGATTGGGCTCGTGAGCAGGGCTACGCATTCAGTTTAGGACCGTTGCGCCCAAAGGATGAAAAGAAGGTGTCCTTCCGTATGAAGAGCGCCGTCCTAGAAGGACAGAGACTGCGGCAGATTTATGTCCATGAGCCAGACTCAGGGAGCCCTCGGATACTGGAGGTTGTTTGGAGTGTGACGGACGAGTAGGGGAGTCTTTTCTTTTTCGGTTGTTCTTCCATGGAGTTTCTATTTGCATACTCTGCTGTAGGTACGATATGCTTCTTTTTTTTTTTTTTTTTTTTTTTTTTTTTTTTTTTTTTTTTTTTTTTTTTTTTTTTTTTTTGGACCGACATAGAGCCGTGGCCACTATAGGATGAATACCTTCTTAATTGTCCAGACAACATCGTATTTCATGTCAACTTACAATTGGGTGGCGGGCTTCTCTTATGGTTCTTTCTTTACAACATGAAGGTCATAAGCCCTGAGCATCCGACACAACATGTAATATGGGGCGTAGGGAAGTAGACAATAGTGAGCATAGAGAAAGGCCACGGAATCATCAAGCATGGCGCCGATACCTTCAAGGCAACCCTGTTGTTCGTGTCAACAATATTTTGTGATGCCCATTGAAATTTACTGATCTATTTTGATAAGCATTCACGTACGTAAATATAGGTAACATGAGGGTAATCCATCGGTAACAAGATAGAGTACTGAAATACACATGACATTTCATTTCTTTTTTCGGGGGTTCTTTGCGTAATGGAGTGTATATATTACTGTAATTTGCTTGTCTTGGGCGGTCGCAACTCGCGCGTCTGTCAGGTAACTTTGATGCCCTTCCATTTGTATAGAAGAGTTGGTGCAACTCACACCTTTTACTATTAAATAATGGCATACACCCTATATTCCTGGAGCCAGGACGAAGCTCCTACGTACAGTTTCTCTTGTTCGAACATGAACCAACGAAGCACATGACCGCTGGTCCGATAAGTGGAACCTTTTGGGTGGGTATATGCAGGGATCAGGGCAAAATAAACCAATAAACGGTAGATATTCCGTTGGCCCTGCCAGGCTGAAGCACCAGTTGTGTCGCCGATCGGCGGCTAAGAACCGAAAAAAGACTGACAGTGCTGAGGGCCAAGAAACTAATGCGCGGATCGAAATCGAACTTGGGCCCTAGCGTGACATCCGTACTGATGTCATTGGTCGTTCACCTTTTGATCCATGCTCACCTCCCCCTGCGTTTAAGGAATGGAATATGGAGCTAGAGCAATTAAAGGGACAAATACCCCCATGTTCATTGTTCGTTGTAGCCGCGGGCGCCAGCCCGGTCGCATCCGTTCTGGTTTCTCTCTTTCATTCTCCCACATCCTGGTGTGGGAAACGTTGACACAATGCATATCTTCACTAGCCGGAGACTAATCAGCAGTTTGTTAATTGTTTGTATTGTGCTGTGGTTTTCATGCTTTAGACATGGTGACGGTTCCTGGATTGGTACCTCCACGACGAATCCAACCGATTCAGATGCGTTGCTGGACAGCAGGATCAGAAACTCTACCCTAGGGGTCCGTCTACAATATCTTCGCGCGTCCTATTGGAGAAGACTAACAGATGTCATTATTTAGTTCCAGAAGATTTTCGCAATCGGTTTCAAGGAGCGCACCGATAAGCACGATGCGATCACGCTGGCGGCATCCTATACCGGGCTGGAAGTAGACTGGTTTGAAGGTGTCCGAGCCGCCAATATCCCTCCGAAAGCATATCCAGCTGTTCGTCCACCTTGAATCTGTCCTCCACTTTACCTCCCTGACAAGTGACTAGGTATGGACGGAGGAGAAACATCGCGATAAACCAGCCGAACTCGGAAGCTGGCGCGCTCATATGAATGCTCTACGACAGTAGGTGATCGGTTTGGTAAAATGAATAGCGGGCTTCGCACTAACGCAGTCATCGGGCGTCAATAGTATCGTGGAGAACAAGATCAGCAGCGCTGTCCTTATCGAAGACGATTCCGACTGGGACGTAAATATCAAGGCACAAATGGTCGAATTCGCTCGGGGCACTAGGGCTCTTCTGGGAACGGATGGTGTTCCCTTCTCCCCGTACGGCGATAGCTGGGATATGCTATGGCTAGGGCACTGTGGAATAAATTTGCGAGGAGACCCAAAGTTTTATGTGATTCCGAACGATTTGACGGTTACACCGCGACCCCACCAGAACGAGTTTGTCCGTCCTGGGCTGGCAGAGGACCCTAATTTCGAGAAACACCGCCTCATCTTCCATGCGGATAATGCGATCTGCTCATGGGCCATGGCATTTACTTATGAAGGCGCCCGCAAGGCACTCACTGCGTTATCATACGTCGGGATCGATGAGCCGGTTGATCTAGGCTATAACTTCCTTTGCACTAATATTCTGCACGTTCCGTATAAATGCTTGTCGTCGCATCCTAGTATCATGGGGACCTGGGCGCAACGTGGTCCGGCTTCGCGGGACTCAGATATTACTGACGGTGACGATACATGGCATGAAGCAAGCTCTCGGTCCCTCACCTATAGCACTATGCTGAATATTCTACCTCTCGCGAATAATAAGACGACGATATCCGCGACGTGGGACGATGTTCCAGCCCCGAAAATTGATACTACGACGTTTAAGATACCCAGTGGTTATTTGTACACTCCCGATCCTGCATGAATGTTCATCGTGTTTGTACCTTGAATTTCCTTATTTTTTTTTTATTTTTTT